TAATTTTTCTTATTACAAAACTAGCTGTTCCTCGCGACTTCGCCCGCGTGTTATTTGAGGTTTTAATTTTTTTTTCGTGGAACCATAATTATTATATAAAAGTAGCTTAAGTTACTCCTTGTGACATCAGCTATCTGCCAGTGAAAATCCCGTCAAAATCGGTCCAGCCGTTTCAGAGATTAGCCGGAACACACAGACAGACAGACGGACGGACGGACGGACAAACAGACAGACAGACAGACAGACAGACCGACCGACCGACCGACAAAAACTTTAAAAATTGTATTTTTGTTATTAAATGTTTGTTATTAATGTTTAGTACCATATATACTGTCATATGCATTCAGTAAAAAACTCTAATTTTATCATTACAAACAGACTCTTCAATTTTATTTATTTGTATAGATTTGTTATGTCAACAGTAAGATTTTTCTCTTGTATCATGGATGTAGTTAACATACATAAATTATTGTACAAAGACAAACATACAGCCAACAAATTTGAAGGCCATATAATTTTTTGTTCCATGTGGGATTAGAACCCGTGGCCCTCGGCGACGCAGTTCAATACTAAGTTACTGCACCACTGAGCTGTCAACCTTATTGCCTGGCTCCATGATAAATCAGCACTATCAAATATGCAAAATTGCAATTAACTGTTTCATGGGTGGAGGCTGTGATCAAACCAGGGGTGCCTGCAAACTGTCAAATTTATGGTGAACACTCAGCGTCACCAAGGCTGAAAATATAAATTGAAATTGTGACTAATTTTTATTTATAGGTGATTTCCATCACATCTTTCCAAATCCATTGAGGTTTCCAGAGTAGCTTATGTCGATACAGTAAAGTACAATGTGTTAACTATCAAATATCTGATACTAATTACAAGAAAAACAGGGTATATAACCTCCATTTTACTGAAAGAGATAGAAATATAAATAATTACCTTAAATCTCTAAATTTACCTAGTAAGTACACAAGTTGCAAAGTTCCCTATGTTACCTGACTACTAGACAACAGTATAGGCTATTACACCCATTTTCGAATAGCGTTTTTTATATGATTCCTAGAGTTATAATGAACCACAATAATTTTTATATATATTTTTTAAAACTGAATGGTGCCATAAAATTCCTTTTAATCTATCACTGCTAGTAAATAAAACGATTTTATTAAGGAATAAGTTATTTTTGGATGTTTAATAATGAGTTATCATCGTCATCATTGGTGTGTTGTGCCTGAATGCAAAAATACTAGCATAAAAATGCAGGCGAAGTTATGGATTCAAGTGCCAACCGATTTAAATATGAGAAATACTTGGTTAAAACTGGCAAGAAGAGACCCGAAGACATTGTCTACAAAATCTAGACTATATTTCCGTTAAGATAACATAAGTCATACTTACATTAAAGTGTGATGTAAGCATGACTTTTGTTAAACTATCATTTATACAAAACAAAAGATCATGAAGTGATAGGGTATTGCAAGTCAAATTTTGTAATAGATTAGCAATCATTAGTATAAGAAAACCTAAAGATTTCAAATGCCATAAAGATTATTGCTGGATAATTAAAAATTAAAAATTTTGTACTGCCTACTTCAATATAAGTTATTAAGAATAACTTAAAAACTATTGGTCTGACCTTGATCAAATTAATATGGGACCACACGAGAAGTACCAGCTTTCAAATAAATAAAAGAATCATCGAAATAAAATCACCCAGTAAAAAGTTATGCGGTAACACATAAAAAAAAACATACAGTTGAATTGAGTACTGTCTCCTTTTTGGAAGTCGGCAGAAAATGACATTTTTTTAATTCAATAAAGGTGACAAATGAACACATAGTCCACCTGATGGTAAGTGGATGCTGTGGCCCATAGACATCTACATCTACTCTCGATTAACAATCAAAATGCCGATGCGTTGTCACCCGTGAGGACTAAGATAGCATGACTCGTTTCCAGTAAAAGAGGTCTCCGGTTCTCTACACTCACCATATGAAACATAGAAGTGCTAAGTTGCTATTTTACGCCAGTATTCTGTGAGGTCCTTCCCCAGTCGAGCGGACCCATTCGTGCTACAACAATACTACTAATATAGTTGCAGCATGGCTCTGTTGTGGACATACATATACTAACTCTCGAAAAACATTACCTCCTTCCGGGGCAGTCAGATAAATTGATCTGCCATTCTTTTAGAAAATTATGATGAACTTCTAGAAAGTCAAAATAGTGTTCATTTAGGTATTATTTTCTTTTTGTAAATTCTTAATTATTTATTATTTACTATAGATAATGCTGCTGATAAAACACAATCACTCCACATAACCACAAGCTTGACAACACCACTAAAAGATTTTCAAGTTCCTTCCACTCTAAAAGAAGTAGTAAGTCTATAAAAGAAATTTATTTTTGAATAATCAATTTAACATTATTAATAATATTACATTGAACATTTAATAACCTAAAATTAAAAATTTTTACAACCGACTTCAATATAAATTATTAAGAATAACTCCAAAACTATTGGTCAGACCTTGATCAAATTCATATGGGACCACATGTGAAGTACCCGCTTTCAAATAAAAAAGAATCATCGAAATCGGTTCACCCAGTAAAAAGTTAGGAGGTAACACACATAAAAAAACATACAGTCGAATTGAGTACCGGCTCCTTTTTGAAGTCCGTAGGGAACCCCCGAAACAAAAAGAGTTGATGCTTTTCAAACGGCTGAAAAGATTTTCTTGAATCAGCTAACAACACTCGATCAAATCACATTTCAATCAAAAAAAACTAAATCTCAATTGGTTCATCCATTTGAGAGCTACGATGCCACAGACAAACACAGATACAAATGTTAAACATATATTAATAGCATTTGTTCGAAGTAAATGAGAAACTGTTAACTTGTTTAAATAATAATTTCATTAATTCATTCATTAAAGCATCGCAAAAGTCCACTGCTAAACATAGGCCTGCATATTGATTCATATAGATTGCTTCGTATGATGGATATTTGCCACAGTTGCTACTCTTTGCAAGCTACTGCATTTTTAAATATTGTTATTGAGATGTTATAAGGAAGATGCAGCTACCTGAAGTTCAAAAAAGGAAGAGGTTCTAATTTTGGTTTCACAGAATTGGCTGAATTGAATTAAATTGTTATTTATTTATTATTAAATAGGTTATTTCTCAAATTTATAAATAGTCCTTAAATTTGAAGAATATTTAATGTATTTTTTTCGACATTCTAGACGTTACTTTGAACTTATATCTATATATCTATACCATAAAATTGAAGTGTCTGACTGTAATATCGAAATAACTTCTTTATATTGAGCTGAGGGGGTTATTGAATGCCATTGAACCAAGCAATTTTTTTGTCTGTCTGTATTTTTGGGATAATCTTCGGAATGACGTAACCCATTAATATTAATAATTACCTAACTGACCGAAATTATTTCTGTGGTCGTTTCTGCGAATGGGCTGATCCCAATCAGCCTCTCAGGTCATCTGAGGCGACTGCGACTCAGTGACGGACCGCTCCGGACTCAGATGTAGAAGGCGGTGCTCCTCGATATCGTCCGCCGGTTTCTTTCCATTTCTTCCTAACTCTCGGCCATTTAGTCTCCCCTGCCGAGGGCTTCCATCTGGGGTTAGTTTTTTATTTATTTATATACTTTTATGTATTTATTTTATTTTATTGATATTTATCATTTTCATTTACATATATATATTTATACAGCCCGACCAGATGAGAAAGTTTAATAAAATATTAATAATTTATTGCATGTCTAAATAATCCAAGATTATATTAGAATCTCTGACTTCTAAATTAGGCAGGGCCTGTATCATAAAATTCAGCACTCTTCACAAAAGCAGTGTCGACTAGATAAAAGTAAAATAAGTATATATTAAATAATTGAATAATTGTAATGAAACTTCCCGAGTAGATATAAAATAATGCCAGGACAGATGTGGGCTATATTTTATCTGGCAAACTTGGACATTAAAAAAAGCATGTTCTTTGATTATCTTAATCATGAAATACATATATGAATAATAAACATATAGATCCCAGGCAAAGCCAGAGCGGGTTGGTAGTTGTGAATGTGGGTCACTTTGGTCCATAAATATAAAATTTATTAATAATTTGACTAAAGCGTCACCTATCGCCGTGTTGTGGCCGTGGGTAAAGGATATGGGATATGCCAAAAGTATCTAATAGCTTTTTTAAAGATAAGGGCGCAATCGAGCATGCAGCTCACTTGATGGTAAGGGTTAACAACTGCAACACCGGCGGAATTGCTTTTAAATACGAGTTAACTCGTTTTTTATGCTTCCGATAGACGGCGTTACCATCACGTTTTTACGTAAGGCGTAAAATACAAAGACCGGGGACGGGGAGCAGCGACAAAGACTCGAAACGTCTGTTATTGCGAATCGTCGATTCGCTGCGCTAGAGCATGGCTCTACCACATATAAAATCATAATGTGCATCGTGCTTTACCACATATAATATATTTTTTTATAGGATAAGGGTGACAAGCTAGCACACAGTCCACTTGATGGTAAATGGTTGTTGTGGGCCATAGACGTCTTCATCTATCCTCGATTAAGAATCAAAATGCAGATGCGTTGTCAGCCGTGAGGACTAAGATGGAATAAAAAGGTTTCCAGTGAAAAGGATCTCTGATTCTCTACACTCACCATACGAAACACAGCAGCATTAAGCTGCTATTTTATGTAGGTATTCTGTGAGAGCGTGATCCTTCCCCGGTCGAGCCGAGCCATTCGTGCTACAACTATACAATTAATATAGTTGCAGCATGGCTCTACCACGTTAAGCCATTTAATATCTATTCTATATCACGCCATATGGAATAGTAGCAAATCCATTTTGTCAGTTATTCTTAATTTTGTATTGTTTACTTTCAGCCGAACCTTCATTACTGAACCAGAACACACTTTTAGATCACAATTATTGTATTTCAACTAAAATGACGCCGCATAAAGTGAAAGGTAAGTTTTTGAATAAATATTGCTAAAATTAATTTATTATTTTTGAGACTTTACATTAGGAATCTTATTTAGTTATGTATCTTCATATTGACAATATATTTTTTCAGAAAGAAAAGTGACTCCAGTAAAGATTTATGATAGTGCTGTTAAAAATCTGTGGAGGGAAATCACACGCCTCCGTAAAAAGGGAAACTGTTTCAGTCAGCGCCTGAACAATGCTAAAAAACTATTGAAAGAGCCTTCATTCCATAAAGTTTTTAAAACAATGAGCATACCTGCAAAGTTTTTCAATATAGTTCAATATAAACAAAATAAAAGGAAGCAATTTACTGTTGACGAAAAAGTGTTAGCACTGCGTTTATTTATAAAAACTCCTAAAGGTTACCTCCTATTGGCGAAATTATTTACTTTGCCTTCACACACATCCTTAAAAAGATTGCTGGCACAAATTAAAATAAGTCCTGGGCCAAATAATGTCTTATTGTTTGATAATTTAAAAACACTCGCAAGTGAATTTACCGTCGAAGACCGTTTATGTTCCTTAATTTTTGATAAAATGCCAATTAAACCTCAAATACTCTATGACGCCACAAAAGACGAAATTAAAGGTCTTGTAAGTAATGGAAAAAGGGATATTGCGAGCCATGCCTTAGTGTTCATGATAAAGGGCATTAGAAAACAGTATAAACAGCCCGTCGCATATTACTTTACAAATTGCTTAAATAAACTAGAACTGAGATTTTTTATATTAGAAGTTATAAGAAAAGTACAAGAAGCCGGTTTCATAATTATCTGTACTGTGTGTAATCACAGCACTACATATGTTAGTGCTATAAATGAACTCATACGTGAAACCAAAGTTAATCTACTAAACAATCCAAAAGTAATGGAATATGAATACGATTATTTTGAAGTAAATGAGCAAAAAATTATTCCACTTTATGACACATCCCATTTGATCAAAGGCCTAAGAGACAATTTAATTTTAAACAATTTAATATATATTGATACAGAGGACAACAGAGAGAAAACTGTAAAATGGGAGTACTTCCAGCAGTTGTATTTGGCTGATAAAATGTTTGGTGAATTAAGGTTTTTGCAGAAAATCACTGAGGAGCATGTGGTGCCGGAAATAATTAAAAAAGTGCGAACTAGGACAGCTGTGCAAATATTTAGTCATTCAGTGGCTGTGGCTACTGAACATTTGTCAGCCCGTGGGAAACTGCCGAAAGCATGTCGAGAGTTAATTCCTTTTGTTTTAACAATAGACAATTTGTTTGATTCGTTAAATGTAACATCGTTTAATGATATGGATGGTAAAATTTTCAGATCCGCTCTGAGAATCAATTCTCCACATCACTGTCTTTGGGAAAAGTCAATTAAAATGCTAAAAACCATTAAATTTACACATGGTAAGGCAGAATTTGTTCCGCCTTGTGTATTTCTTTTTATTAAAACCATTCAGGGCTTCCAAGCTTTGTCGCGACTTTTATTTGAAAAATATTTCTTTCACTTTGTGATGACTGGTAATATGAATCAAAGTCCAATAGACACATTTTTCGCCGATATAAGGAGCCTCAGGGCTAGGAATGTAGCTCCAAACACTGTGGCATTTGAAATAGCATATAAATCGCTGCTATTAAATAATTACTGTGTTCAATCTGTGCATGCAAGTTGTGAGCATGATGACAGTAAATATTTACTAAGTTTAAAATTTTCGTGTAAAGACATTGAGACTGCGGCTCCAAATGCTGCTGAAGAAAAGGAAATTCCATTCAGTGAAGATTTGGCTTGTCCTATAGAAGATAACACATTTAATAAAGGTCAAAGAAACTATTTCTGTAGATGGGTTGTGCAAAAATGCTTAAAGCGTGTAACAAAATCGTGCAGGTGTTGTAAAAATGATCTGATTGATACAAATAATAATGGCTCTAATACTTATATACCTTCAAAAGAATATGTTCCAAACAAAAAATGGCGGCATTATCCGCGTCCAGCGTTAATTTATTGTTTTACACAAATTCAAAATCTGTGCATATCGCACTTAAAACGTGAAGTCCCTTCTGTAGATGTAAAGAGGTATATTAAATGTTGTGTGGATAGATTTCTTAAATTCCATTTCAAATGTAAAACACATAAAGAAAAATTAAAAAAATGTTTCGTCGAATCAACCATAAATATATTAATTTACAATTGGTGCCGAAGCTTGAATAAAATTTTGTATGGTAAAGTTTCCGGTACTGATTCAGAAGATGCATTAAAGGTTGTAGTCCAAACGTATTATAATAAACGTAAACATAAATTATTAAATTGATGTCCTGTGGCCACACTTTGTGTTTTTTCTATATAAATTAGAAGTAAGCTGTCGCCTGTAGACACTTTTATACACACTTATCTATTTTCATATATGACGGATGCTTTGTTACCAGCTTGCATTTTGCTGCTATTTTCTACCGAATTCAAAAAGAGGAAGAGGTATTCAATTCGACTGTGTTTTTTTATGTACGTTAACTTCCTAACTTTTTTCTTGGTGAACCGATTTCGAAGATTCTTTTTTTATTTGATAGCTGGTGGTTCTCATGTGGTGTCTTTGATCTGAATTTGATCAAGGTCTGACCAGTAGTTTTTGAGTTATACTTAATAATTAATATTGAGGTCGGTTGTACAAAACTTAATTTTACCACTTGTACAGTAGTATTTTGTGTGATCATTGTCAATCCCTCGTCTAGCCCAATTACTCTTGGTGTGCTCCCATAATATGAATATAGCGGCTTGTGAACTTAGTTCAGATTCCTAGTTCTAGGCGGTAGGGCTCTCTTTTTTACCTTTTCTACCATGGGTAGATATCACGAACGGAAGTGACAAGCGAACTACAGTGCACCTGACTGCAAGTAGTTACAGCAGTTCAATGTTTAACTTTAAACAAAGAAGGCTACAGATGAGTTGTCACCTCGTAGGACTAAAATGGAATGCCTCACAGCTTGTATTCATACCGTCTCTCTGTAGTCTTTAGACCGGAACTCAGCAGTGCAAGCACTTCTATATAGCGGCAGAAACAGGTGAGAGGGTGTGTACCTGCCCAGTCGGACTTTTAGGCAGAAAACAAGTCTTACCGCCAGTAAAACCCTCGTTAAGTATTTCTGTGACCAAATATAGATGCTTGCACTGATGAGTTCGGCAGGGTATAGACTATAGAGTGACAGTAACATTATAGAATTTGAGGAATTCCATCTTATACAAAATTGATGTGTAAAAGTTTTTATGTTAATGATAGATTTAGGTTGTGTGTTGAGGGATACTATAAGCCTCGTTCTGGTAAAAATTATAAAAGAATCAGCAGTCTATCCTGTAATAGTTGGGACAAATATGTCCCAGTATGCGTTACTGGCTACAATTAATGGATTTTATAGATTTTGTAAATTTAGGTACTATATAGATTTAAGGAAAAATAACAACAGCTTTTAGTTAAAAAAGTATTTATATGTAGGTATATTTATTTATGAAACTCAACAAAACAATTTCTGTTTGCTGTGAAACATAAATTCACATTACATAAATCACACACATTGTTAGTGCGTTTCTCAACACCGATCTTAGTACATTGCACACATCTTTTACGTGAAGATTCTTTCTTCATCACTTGGGATGGTAAGGATCGCTTGAATCCAATATTTTGGATTCGTTTCTTTGTCAGAAAGGTTGACGGTAAAGCATGCTTCCTTATGGAAAATGTCACGATCATCGTCCTCGCCACAACTTGGCGATATTCTAGCGACAAAAGTAAACAAACTTCGATTAGATGTTTTCCATGCAGTTTTTCATACATTATATACGAATTATTTATTGCTATGACTAGTAAGTTAAAAAAAAGCCGAAGGTAATATTTTATTTTAGATTTTCTGTCAATTTCATAGGTCACTTTTTTTATCCATTAGATCTACTCCTCCCATATTTATATTATCTTTACGAACAGTATCGGGACATGTAACCTCTAAACATTGTGCCCAACCTACTTGTTTACGTTTCACCTTTTGAGAAGGTATTGGCGACAAGACGAAATTGGTGAGGAGAAGCACCGCTTTATTGTCTATCCACTTGATGAAAGAAATTCCCTCGAAACTGGTTGCATAGATATCGCCTCTCTTCATATCTTTATCTAATGGTAAATGTTTCGGAGTATGTTTCCGCTGAGTGCGGACAGTGCCGCAAGATTTTATATTTTGCTTGGCCAAGTTGTATTGCAACAGAGGATAATTGAAAAAGTTGTCGATGAACCTTCCTAGTCCGATCAAAGGTTTTGTGAGATCTAGTACGACAGTCTCTCCTAGTCCTATTTCTGGTCCCGATCTTTTTTATCGGTGTTTAAGTCGAACTGGAATAAATATCCTATTTTAGAATCGTCGCGGCACAATTTTGAAACATTTTGAACATTTTGAAACCTCTTTTCACAGGTTTATTTTGCATGTATTGCGAGAATAAACGCTTGGTCTTCTTCGTCCAAGATTAGTGCATCTTCATCACTATTATCAGCCATGAGATACTCCTCTACTTCTTTTTCATTTAAATGAAATATTCTAGTACCCCTCCGGGCCTGAAACAATAAATAGTTGTATAAATTTACTATTATTATTGATTACGGAATATAAAATATAATATTCGGAATGTTAGCAGCTGTTGACCTTTCATGCATATTGGGACACCCATGTCCCTGCTAATATATCTTGTATTTTCATTGCTTTTGTACGTAACATTATAATAAATTCATAATGACTACTTACCATTCTACTACAATCAAACACAAAAATTATCTAAACTGCAAAAACTATATTTTAATTAACTATTGAATATTATTTACGAAGCGCGCCATAACATCCAAAAGTAATAAGGAGATATTTGTTCCTTTTTATACGCACCGTACTACCAACCTTAAAATATTAAGTTTCGTTCAAAACAATTGTTAAGGACTACTGTTTTGTTATTAATTATTGACTATATCAGTAAAAATGTAAGTTAAAATTTAGGGATACCGGTGTCCCATTTACGTCAAAGGGTTAATGAAATGACGTATTTGTTAATAATACAGAGTAGTTACATGTTAAGTCGACCTAGATCCTTTAGGGCAGTTGTTTCTAACCTTGTCAATATTGCTACCACTGTGACCTATGAGGAATACTGATTTTACCCCGACATTCAAATGTTATTAAAACAAATAATAAAAATAAATACAAATATCTTTATTAATTACAAATTACACAGTAGTCTTATGTATTAACTGTCTTCATGTAATAGGAACGAATATGAATACGTACTTATTAACAATGAATATGAATGAAAGCAAAATAATACCAGCCTTCCCACTGACTTTTATAATAGTGGCTTAATAGTTCAGTTTACGATGGTGAACTGTTTGGCGACCGCTACAATGTGTATAGAAGGGATCGTGAAACTAGTGGATTTCATAGGGGGAAAGAGGGCGGCGGGGTACTTATTGCCGTTGCAAAAGATATCACCTCTTATAGACTTTCGTCCTATGACAGCCTGTCCGAGGATGTATGGGTAGCCCTGATTTTTAAATCACCGTTCAGAACTGAAAAAATACACATTTGTTCAGTATATATACCTCCTCCGGTACAAAAAGAAATGTTAGCTGAATTTATTAATAACTCTAATCGTGATATGGAGGCACAAACGAATACAATTATTGTAGGTGACTTCAATATGAACTCCTTAGTTTGGAACAATAACTTACCATGCAATTCGAGTACTGCGGGCACTCTTAATAGTATGTTAATAGATTTTATTAATTTAAATGACTTAAAACAGTATAATCCCTAATTGTAAAAATAAAATCTTGGATCTGATATTATCTAACCTTGAGGTTGCTAATCCTACAAACAGCACATGCAGCCTTAGTGTTATAGACCCATTACACCCAATTTTAGAGTTCTCCCTATCAATGCGATCTGACACGAAACTTAAAGATAAAAGTAGTGTACCCCGACATAATTTCTACAAGGCGGACTATGAGGAAATTGTTTCGAGTCTTATGGGTACCTCGTGGGACCAAGAATTTCGATGGTGTTTAGATCTAGAAGACAAAGTTAAACGTTTCTATGACATACTGAGAGAGGAGACATAACTAGTCATGTTCCATTGTGCAAACCGAAAAACACAAAATATCCTATTTGGTATTCGAAAAGTTTAATTCAACTTCTTCGTGAAAAACAAAAATATCGAATGAAATTTAAAAAATACAATAACCCTCTTGACCTGTTGTACTTACAATCCTTGAAGAAGAGGTGTGACTCTTTAATCACGTTGTCATATAAAAAATATTTATCTGACATAGAAAACTCACTCTCTAAGAATCCCAAACTGTTCTGGTCGTTCATGAAACATAAAAAATCTAACAGTAGTAATTTCCCCTCTATAATGCACTATGATGGCGAGACGGCTGATTCTGGAAGGAATATAGCTAATCTGTTTGCCACTTGCTTCATGTTAGCTTATAGTGTGCCCTCAACTGCTAAAAGACAAGTGGTTCTCCCACCAGTGGTGAATAGCACTTATAGTATTGGGGAAATTTTATTTTCACCGCGACAAATTGAACTTGTCCTAAAGAAACTTGATCCCGCAAAGGGTGCTGGTTCTGATGGGATACCTTTTTTTTATATAGGAGGGGGCAAACGAGCATGCGGCTCACCTGATGGTAAGTGACTACCGCCGCCCATGAACAACTGCAACACCAGAGAGGGAATTGCAGATGCGTTGCCGGCCTTTTAAAAAGGAGTACGCTCTTTTCTTGAAGGTCCCTAAGTCGTATCGGTCCGGAAAAATCGCTGATGGTAATCGATTCCACAAGGAAGTTGTGCGAGGAAGAAAACATCTTCTAAATCGCACAGTGGTGGACCGCCAATCATTCATATGGTGTGGATGGTATCGGGAGTTCTGCCGCGATGTGCGTTCGTGAAATTTGGCGGCTGGGATTAATCCGAACAATTCCTCAGAGCACTCCCCATGGTAGATGCGAAAGAAAATGCAAAGGGATGCATGTGTCTCCGGTGTTTCTAATTTACTGTTCAGAGTGTTTGTCATATCCGCTTTCATTGATCTTTAATGAATCATTGCGTCGAGGGGAATTTCCTACAGTTTGGAAGAGAGCCCTTATTGTGCCAGTATTTAAGTCTGGTGATGATAAACTAATAAAAAACTACAGACCAATTTCACTGCTACCAATCATTGTTAAAGTAATCGAATCAGTTCTTTGTCCTATTTTATCCTGGCACATTAAACATTTTATTACGGCTCGACAGT